CAAAGGTAAAAGCCTAGCATATGGCTGGGACACTGGTTCAATTTCCAGGACCACATATGGTTCCCCAAGTACTGCTGTATGTGCCGACCCCCAAAAAGTGATTACGATTAAAAGGAAGAAAGCTGATAAAGATAAATTTTAAAAGTGGCATCAAACATCATGAAAAAGACAAATGGCAGGCTTAGAGTGATGTAAAATAGAATGGTTGCCATATTGGGAAGCAGCAGCAAGACAAGCCTGCTCCACAGAACTACGAAGCTCTGGTTCAAACAGTCAACACAGCAGTCAGAAATGTTGATGTACAGCTGCAAATGCTCGACTCATTAAAGAGCTCACGAGGAGAAAACTGCACGAATAGACCCTCCTCATCTAGCCTTCCTCCTCCATCCCTAAAGCAGAGCCCAGTAATTTATCAGTTGTCTATCTCTAAAGCAAATGGAAGAAAGAAAAATTCAATTTCTATGCTATATGTTGACAGCTCAAAATTAAACTTTTCCATATTTGTAGCATGAAGAGAAACAGGGGAGGGATGAAAGCGACATATAATCAGAGAGATGTGAGACTAAGCGTTATAAATTTGGAAAGGTCAGAATCAACAAAAAGAAAAACTGACCCCTAAAATCAAACTATAAAATAGAAATCATAGAAATAAACTTAAGGAAAAATCCCAGTATCTGCACAGAAAATCCTATGAATATTTCTTAAGACAACATCAGATTGTTATGAAAAGCAAACAGAATGCTACAATGAAAAGAGTATCATAATGATTAAAAATTTACATAAAAAATAGAAAACAAGGCTTAGAAAATATCTCATTTCAAAGATATGGAAGAATAAACTAAATATCTAGACAATTAGTACATAGATTCCAATTCTGATTAGCAGGAGTTCTGGGAAAGATGGGGGCGGGGGGAGTGAAGAAAAAAATGAATAAAACTTCAGCAGAACAAAACTCCCCTGAAGTTTAAAAAAAAAGGTTTAAACATCTGCTAGATGCAGAGTTTTCAGGGTGTCTAGTAAATGAATGAACAAAGACTTAGGCCAAACCATTGACTTATTTATGTAACAAATCTCATTGCAACAAATCTCATGAGTTATTTTCGATGGCTGTGACATAACCATATAGAGACATTTTATATGCATATATATAGCACTGTAGCACTGTCCTCCCATTGTTCATTGATTTGAACAGGCACCAGTAACATCTCCATTGTGAGACTTATTACTGTTTTTGGCATGTGAAATACACCACAGGGAGCTTGCCAGGCTCTGTCGTGCAGGCGGGATATTCTCAGTAGCTTGCCAAGAGGAGCTCTCCGAGAGGGGCAGAGGAATCTAACCCAGGTGGGCCGTGTGCAAGGCAAACTCCCTACCCACTGTGCTATTACTCCAGCCCTACATGCATATATATTTATACATATATATATGTATGCATGTATGTATGTATGTATGTATACACTCACATATATATGTGTATTTTTTTAGTTTGGAGACTTCGCCAGGTAGTGATCAAGGGATACTCATGGCTCTGTGCTCAAGGGTAATTTCCAGCGATGCTTACAGAATCATGCAGTGGCAGGGATTAAACTGCATGCAAGGCAAGTACCTTGACCCTTGTATTATCTCAAATGGCCTGCTGACAACATATTAACTGTTTTTAAGGGTTCATGTTTTGGAAATACATACGAAACAAGATTTCAGATAGCGTGTTATGACAAAATTAAGGAGGAACAATGTAATAAAGACTAAAGGCTAAGTGGGTTCCCTTAGGTAAGGAAGAGGTAAAAAGTTTCTTTGGGGTGATATGAAAAGGCCCAGCCAAGACAAAATAGAAGAATAAAGTATTTCTTATGAAATTTCAGAAAACTTTGAGACAAAAATATTTTAAGAATTTCAAATAGAGACACACAAAAGAATCTCAGAACTGAGCAGCTTCTTACAGAGATGCCTCTGCACCTTGCACCAGGCAGATTTTACCTGGGTGCCTCAGATGGGACCATGCATTGTCTCTCCAGTTGCCCCCAAAAACTCCAGCAGCCACCAACTTCTAGAACCCAATAAGAAGTGCAGGTATGTGGGTTCAGTAATGATAAACACCAGGCCTCAAGGGATAGAGGATGGGCCAATCCCTCTTATCCCCCCATCCCCTGGGACCTTTGATGTCACACCCCCTAAACTGCTTCTGGCTTCTATTTAAGCTCCTTAACGGCCCTGATCCAGAGACATACAAAAGAATCTCAGAATTGCTTGCTGCAGAGATTTCTTCAGACCCTAATTATCAAAAATTTTAGAATTCTAGGAGTGTGCAACCACAAGTGAGGCCACATGACATCTTATACTATTCATAACAAGCAATACAAAATAAATCACCCAGCATCTGCCTGTTCGGCAGGTTTGAGTAGTGGAAGGAAAATTCAAAATATGCTGGTGGGAAGGTGTAATGGTGGTGGGCTAGTGTCAAAATATTGAATGTAATCCATTATTGTGAACAACTTTATGAAAATAAAATTTTAAAAATTTCAAGAACCAAGGCTGGAGCGATAGCACAGCGGGTAGGGCGTTCGCCTTACAAGCGGCCAACATGGCCGACCCGAGTTCGATTCCTCCGCCCCTCTCGGAGAGCCCGGCAAGCTACCGAGAGTATTCGATATGCCAGACACAGTAACAACAAAGTCTCCAATGGAGACGTTACTGGGCCCGCTCGAGCAAACCGACGATCAACGGGAGGGCCTTTACCTTTACCTTTACCTTCAAGAACCAACTGTACCTCATGGTGTTTTACTAATAAAAATTTTTAAAAAATAAAAAAATTCAAATAATGCTTTACTACTCATAAAGAAATAAGCTGTAAGACTGGAGTTAAGTTTTTATCAGCATTACTAAGTGCTCAAGGAAAAACACAGTAATGGTTTCAAAGTTCACAGAAAATTTTATTTTAATGTTTTTATTCTGGACCACACCCAGCAGTGCTCATGGCTTACTCCTGGCTCTGTGCTCAGAAATCAATTCTGCTAGTCTCAGAGGAACATATGGGGGTGCTCAGGGAGTGAACCCGAGGCTGCTGCATGGAAGGCAATGCCCTAGTCGCTGAACTATTGCTCTGGTCCTAGATTTGTTTTGTTTTGTTTTTGAGCCATACTTGGTGGTACTCAGAAATATACTCAGTTCAGTGCCCAAGGGGTTTTCCTGCAGGTGCTGAGAGGACCATGCAGTGACAGGAACTGAACCCAGGCCTCCTGCCTACCAAGTACACACTCCAGCCTTTAAGTTATCTCCCTAGCCTAGAAAAACAAAATTTTTAGTCAATAATTCTGTATGCACTCAAAATAACATTTAATTGTTTAATTGGGAGAGAAGAATAAAGACACTTAGTATATTTACATTAAGTTCACCAATTATTTTTTCTTTTGTACTTTTCCATAGAAGTTATCTGAGAATTTTTCTCACAGAATGAGCACTTAACAGGCCGGGGAATGATAATGCGGTGAGTAGGTCACTTGCCTTGCGAGTGGCTGATTCAGATTTAATTCCAGGTACCCCATGCAGTGCCCTGAGCCCCACCAGGAATGATCCTTGAACACAGAGCCAGGAGTAAATCCTGAGCACTGCCAGGTGTGGCCAAACAAAAAAAAAAAGGGACTTAACAAACACAAAACTAATGGATACAATTGAGATCTCTGAAAGGAAGTCTCAGATTATAAATAATGCCATTTTTTATTTATTTAATAAATAAATAAAATTAGTCCTTGGCAATAGAAGAGAGATATGGCAGGTGAGAGGACTGAGATAGATAGATAGACAGACAGACAGACAGACAGACAGACAGACAGATAGATAGAGATAGATAGATGAATGTACACGCACATACATACATATATGCATATACATAATGGGGGCCATTAATAGAAGAAACAGACCGTTAGAGCTCAAGGACAAACAATGCAGGAACTATGTCATCCAAATTGATGTAAATATAAGCAGATGCTTATCCCTAACCTACTTAATAGGTGATCACTCCTTCCCCCACTCTACTTTCCGGAAAACAATAAGACAGGCTCTGAACTTAAAAGCATCACACATAAAGAGAACCTTTGCTATAAAAAATCTGGGACGATACCAGAAGGCTTAGGTAAAAATCGTAAAATCAAGAGTACGAATAGGTTCTCCCTGCTGTACCTCCTCTTCCACAGTCGGGTTGGGATGCTAGTGGCTACATTCAGAATCCAGATCCCAATCAACACAGCCCAGACAATTGAACATCCTTCTCTTATGGATCAGAAACACCTCAGAGGTAAAATATGGTTTTGACACTGAGCACTCCACAAAAGAAATCACCCCATTATTCTTTAATGAAGCTACCAAATGATAAGTCTTGCCCTCAGACACAGAATAACTACTTCAGTGGGTTTTTGATCTTGTGTGGGGATCTTTATTTTATGTTAGATTTGGGGACCACACCTGACAGTACTCAGGGCTTAGTCCTGACTCTGTGCTTAGGGATCACTCCTGGCAGTCAGATGTGAAATCAAAGGCAGGTTAATTCACATGCAACGCAAGCTCCCCAGTTTGCTCCAACATCACACAGTCTCCCCAGCATCCCTGGGGGCATCCTGAGAGGCTCCTGATCACGTCTAGTGTGGCCCAGCTAATCCCAGGCACTACAGGGCCAAGCAATGCTGCATTCTTGGGCCCTCATATAGAACCTCATGTAGAACTCGGGGCCAAGTTGGACAAGAATCTCTGAAAGGCATTCCCAGGCCTCCTAAAATTGGGAGCCTCCTGCCCTAGCCCAAGCCTCGAAAAAGTCTATGGAAAATTCTCTGTGAGAGACAAAAGGAAAAGAGACAAGGGACAGAGGGTGGCTGGTCCTCTGCTCTGTTTTTTGGATAAAGTAAAGACCCTGTGGGTGGGAGGGCAACAGTTGTCATGAGGATAGAAACGTCACTGGGTTTTGCACTGAAGTTTGATGATGACATGGATGTCACCTTCAAGTTACTTACCCTGTGGTGTAAGGGATGTTGATGCCTCCCAGATTAATACTTTCACATCCAACAATGAACAGGGTGGAGAAGCACAGTAAGGACACACCGCTGCAGATCATGGCTAGTTTTGCAGATTCTCTGGCACCAAGTTTCAGCTTTTTTATTATATAGCCTCCTAAGACAATTCCAACACCAGCACTGGGGACAATGATAACACCTGCAGAGGAGAGAACAGGAGGAAGGGGAAGTAAGGGAGACTAGTATTTTCTTTCTCATTACTCTGTTACTTCTCAGGCAAAGAACTTAAAAATACTGTAACCAACAAATCTTCAATGTGTGATTTTATATTACGGCATTATTAATTTTCAAAACTTTCAGTATAATCAAAAAGGACTTATATTCAAAACATAAAAGAAAGCAATTCTTAACAAATAAAGGCAAGCAACTCATTAGTAAAGTGAGCAAAACCTTAAAAGGTTTTAAGAAAATCCAGTTCTCCATAAACATGGAAGGCGTACAGTCTGATTCCTAAAAGAGAAGTAGAAATAAAAATCACAGTGAAATGCTATTTCATGCCAGGTACGTGAACTGAAGAGTCTGACAGTACCACATGTTGGCAAAATCAGACCATGGTGGGCAAGCTCTTTACACGGCTGGCAGTATCTGGCAGTTGAAGAGACGTACACACCCTCTGTGACAGATAATGGTACTCCACATCTAGACAGCAGAAAGTAGTTCGCAACTGTGAGGATCACAGTTATCTGAAACACCAGAAAAGCCCTCAACTGGAAATAAAAGTTACTTCTTTAATAGATACATTATGTGTACTATATTCATATAATGGAAATCCATACAGTAATGAAAAGTAAGAAACATAATGACATACTACCATTCAGATACATCAAATGGTGTTGGATTTAAAAAGGAGATAGTACAGTTGTTAAAGAGCATGTTTAGCATGCTCCTCAGGTGAAATTCTTTTTTTTTTTTAATTGAATCACCATGAGCTACAGTTACAAAGCTTTCATGGTTGAGTTTCTGTCATAAAATGATCGAATACCCATCTCTCCACCAGTCCACATTTTCTACCACTTATGTCCCCAGTATCGCCCCCCCCATCCCAACTTTCTCCCTGCCTCTAGAGCATACAATTTCTGCCATACTCTCTCTCTACTTTGGGGCATTATGGTTTGCAGTACAGATACTGAGAGGCTATCAAGTTTGGTTCTTTGTCTACTTTCAGCACACATCTCCCATCCCAAACGATGACTCCAACCACCACTGACTTATTGATCCCTTCTCTATTCCAGCTGCATTCTCCCCCAGCTCATGAGGCAGGCTTCCAACTATGGAGCAATCTTTCTGGCCCTTGTCCCTACTGTCCTTGGGTGTCAGTCTCATATTTTATATTCCACAAGTGAGTGCATTTTATGTCTCTCCCTCTTTCTGACTCATTTCACTAGGCATAAGATTCTCCATGACCATCCACTTATAAGCAAATTTAATGACTTCATTTTTCCAAACAGCTACATAGTATTCCATTGTGTAGATATTCCAACGTTTCTTTAACCAGTCGTCTGTTCTTGGCACTCGGTTGCTTCCAGATTCTGGCTATTGTGAACAGTGCTCCAATGAGCATACAGGTGCAGATGTCATTTCTACTGTGCTTATTTACACCCTCGGGATATATTCCCAGAAGTGGTATTGTGGGATCATATGAAAGTTCAATTTCTAGTTTTTTAAGGATGGCTGATATTGTTTTCCAAAAAGGCTAAACCAGTCAGCATTTCTGCAGGTGCAATTCTTGGCACTTCATCACCCCTGATCACTGTTGGGGGCAGCTCTGGAGGTCCCAGCACCTCAGGATGGCCTGAGTATCTCCAGTACAACATCAGCATCGCACCTTAGGGCCACTGCACTGAGTTCCTAGCCCTTCCTGTTGGTATTTTATATCCCACAAATGAATGCAATCATTTTATGTCTGTCCCTCTCTTTCTGACTCATTTCATTTAGAATGATTCTCTCCATGACCAACAAAGATAATTTTGGGCAGTGAGATGGAACAGAGGGTAAAGGGAGCAAAGCTAGAGTCAGAGAAGTGGCAGGAGGCTGACTGCAGAGGTCCATGTGAAGAGTAGGAAGACTGCATGAACAGGAAGTGGGAACTGTGAGGACAACTCAGGTCTCTCTGTGGAACACCAGGTGTGTGAAGGGCTGGTGGGAGAGTCAAGCTTGGGAAGAACCGAACATTTACAATCCAATGCCCAGTTCTGGGGATACATCTTATGTTCCAACAAGATCGAACAAAGTGGAGGCCTGAGGAGTGGCTCAGTGACTAAAATCACCTGCCTTGCTAGGTTGAGGCTAAGTGTCTGATCCCTAATTCCACTCATATGCATCAGGTGAGGTCCCAGGTATCCAATAGCTGCCAGAATAGGTGACTGCCAGGACACAAGCACAGTGACTAAAGTGTGTGACCCTTCACCCAGCGAGCACTGCAACTAAAATATAAAAACGATGTAGCACAAGCATTGTGGTCAGAAGGAAACCCCTGGCAAGTACTACAGATAGAATGTGAACAAACACCACAACGAAATGAGCGTAACCTCTGATGAGCACGTGTGCAAGCACAACTAAAGTGTGTGATTCCCATTATTGCAACAGCCACCAAAAAAAAAGGAAGAGAGAAATGACTAAAGAAAGATTATGAATGTAAGGTCAAACCTAGAATCCCAGAGAGCACCCATGTTAACAGGCTTGCATGAAAAGATGAGTTCCCGGGTCTAGAACGAATCTAGAAAGAGAGATACTACAAGGGTCAAGGTGCTTTCCTTGAACATGGCCAATACCAGTTTGATCCCCTCTACTGCTGGGAGTCATTCTCAGCACAGAATTGGGAGTAAGCCCTGAGCACCACTTGTGTGGCCCCAAAACAGACTAAAAAAAAAAAAATCACTGCTTACATTATATATCTTTCCCTTCTATCTTCTTTCTAGGCTGTTTTCCTTCAAGAATTGATAATGTGTTGTGGATTATTGCATAGCTTCAGTTTTGGGTCTTAATTAATTGCAAACCAAGCTACTAAAGGAAAAGAACTTAAAATGTGACTAAGTTGAAAAAAACCATTGCAGTTTAGTAAAGAAAGCACAAAATAGGAATATGAAAGAGACTTTTGCAAACAGAAACTGTTGTGGGTCCAGGCGATATTAGAGCCCAAAAGTCTGCAGTGGCACCAGCGTGCACAGCCAGATGACTTGCTCATTCAATAACACAGGCAAAAAAGCAAAAAGGAAGGTTAGCTGAATCAAAAGGCAACCAGTGTTCCTCTTGCAATCGTCACCATAGTCCTGAGAAAGAAAGAAAGAAAGAAAGAAAGAAAGAAAGAAAGAAAGAAAGAAGGAAGGAAGGAAGGAAGGAAGGAAGGAAGGAAGGAAGGAGAAAGAAAGGAAGAAAAAAGAAAGAAAGAAAGAAAGAAAGAAAGAAAGAAAGAAAGAAAGAAAGAAAGAAAGAAAGATCAGTCATGACCCTTTTACAATGAAGCTGATATTCCAAGAAGGGACCGAAGTGCACACAGGGGAGCCTAAATGAGTATTTAGGCCACTGAGTCCCAGCCGAGGGCTCTGTTCACATCACCAAAGCTGCTTCAGAGACAATGGATTCTTCCAGGTCCATTGCCCAGTGGTCCAAGCTAAGATGAGCCGGTTAGAAACTCCTGTCCTCAGTAAGTTTGCTGTCATTATCATTAATAAAGCATTACTTTACCTTCAGGTTGAAAATGGGTCTTTAATATAATCCTATTTCAAGCAATCAATGGAATGACCACTACTCCATGCTGGCCTACAATGTAACTGCAAAACAACTTCCCATGTCATTGACGAGCAGGATCATTCCTTGAACTCTGCATCCTAGTTAGTACGCAGCTCTTACAATTTGATTAACAGTATATCAGAAAGCACCCCAGAGTGAAGACCCAAAAAAGTGTTCTCCTTCCTCCTTCATCCCCCCTGCACCTAGGTGCCAAGCATTACCACTCATCTCTCCACAGCTCAGACCTACAACCTGAGGAAGGGACCCACATGTTATCGTTGACACTTAGACATGTGGGGTGAGTGGGGGAGATTTGGAGCTGGGAAGCACAGGGGCAGAGACTTCTTGAAGACACTGGATCTGGGGTGATCCTGGAAGAACTTGAAGGGACTTGGAGTCAGTTTTCCACCCATCACTACACAACCATCTGGGTCTCCCGACTTCCCCATTCCCCGTGTGCATTAGGGAGATAATCAGATGCCAATAGTCCAGGCTGCTCATCACCTCTCCATGATGCTTTACTCTCCTTCCTTCTGTCCTCAGATGCAGGTAGCCAGAGCCTCTTCTGAGCCTCAGTGCTAGATCCAGCCCTACCCCAGCACTGCAGGACTGGTGTGTGGTTCCCTCTCTCTGCCTCCTCATGTTCTCGAGTGACAAAGACTTGCAGAGAGAGGACAGGTAAGCGAGGAAGAGTCATCATCCAATACCAAAGAGCATCCCTAAGAGGGAGAGAGGATGTAACAGAGCCTGGAAAGATAGGAGGAAATGAATGAAGCCCAGGGAGCCAACTATGGTACGAGTGCACAGGAATGAGACCAGTGACCTTGCACATGCCTACCAGACAAACCCAAGTTTGAGTATGACCTGTATACTCTGGGCCTCTGAGTTCACATCCCCGCCTTTCCCCCTACAAGTCACATGTCCAAACTTCCTTCTGGAAAGCCTTCGACTTTCTCATCTGTAAAATAGGGCTAAGAATAGCAACTCTTTCTCTTAGGGCTCTTAGGATTAAATGAGCTAAAGGAATTAAGTAAGACACGTGATGAAGTGCTTAAAAATAGTGCCTGATCCATAATAAATACTCAAATGTCAGCAATCACCATGAATATGAATATCGTTATTATCTGCCTAATATTAATGAGTTTAACATTTGTACAACTAAATATATTGAAATTATAATTAGACAAATGTCTGTATGTGATAATTTCAATAGCATTAAATTTTCTATATGCAATTAGGCAAATTTCTACATTCTATATATCCCTATATGTACACATAACCTATATTTATGGTTGAATTTGAACTATATTAAAGAATATATTTAACTATAATTCTATAGTTATTCTCATAAATATAGAATCAGGCAAGTTTCTATACCTTATAATTAAGATATAGCAAGTTTCTATGTCT